CAGCGGCAACTGGAAAGAGAACATTCGGTGAATACGTTTAAAAATGACCAGTTTTTTTAAGTAAAGCTGGAAAAATAACTGGAGAGCAGTGAATAATGAGGGAGGGGAGGGGAGGGGAGGGGAAGGAATACAGGTATCTTTACATCGCCAAGTTAGGGCTTGCGGTGTGTGACATGAACGCAAGCGGTGGATATACTATACACTTTAGCGGATTTTAATAAAAGGGCCTTCAATATGAAGAGAAACTGATAGATTAGATGCCAGAGTAACACTAAGGAATCGGAAAGGGGACATCTTGTTGGACAGAATGTAAATGGTTCCAGGACTTGGAGGGGATCGCAGTCGAGAAACACACTGGACAGACTTCCGGTGGTTGAGTAGAAGGTCAGTAGCTAGATGAGATATCCAGTTAGTTCGCTGATTTGATCAGATATCTGCATCATAGTTCAATTTAAACGAGTAAAAAATAAAAGTATCGTCGTAAAGTTCCTACAGATTTGAAATAATGAAGCGATTTGAAAAACCAGGCAACCAACTGAACTTCATGTCAACAGACGAATTAACTTTGAATGAATAATTTAAAATTTATACTCTTTTAGTAAATTCTTGATGCTTTGTTTAAAGCATTGTTTCCCGCGTACGAACTTAAAGCAAGCGTACACAACAGGATTTATTCGTTCAAATACATTTTGGGACAGCTTTTCAACTCCCTAATATCTTTGTATGAATTAAATGGCAAATAATAAACACAACAGTTGGGATCTTCATAGAATCAATATATTAAAGCAAGATCATTTTTCAAAGCGGCGAATAGTTAATAATAATGTCGCCTTTAGACTTGAGATACAGGAAGTGTAGGGACGGGAATTAACAAATAGAAAAGATTGATGAAATGTGCGCATTCGATTACCAGGGCAGTTGGAGATTAGCCACCCAAACTAACTGTCTACATAGATCAGGTTTCTCTCGCCGTATCTAGTCCGCTTTCATGTAGCGCAAGTTCCGATTCGTTCGTGCTCGAACAAGAACTCGGAAATATTTTTAAGGTCTACAGAGTGACCAGCATCTAACAGGTGGTTTTTAATGGGAGGTAGAACAAAACCATTTCCAACTATTTCTGTTCCAATTGGTAAGAAAGTCAGGTTATTGAGCCCCTGTCTGACCATAAGTATTCCCGACATCACTTTCTCTGATGCTGACCGACGACTTACCAAGTGATTTTCCGTTCGTGTGTTCGTTTCAAAGGGGCCGAAGCCCTTGAAGTAACCGACCCTATCAGTCATAGATAGCCCATTCGCAGATGAAATTATGAATGAACCGGTTTTTACTCAAAAATAATGAACAAAGCATGATGCAGACTCTACGGCTTTCTATTCATCACTTCGATAATTAAGTATTACAGTGGAAATTAACTTTTTGAAGTAAATTTTCCTTGATTTTCTGAAAAGAAGTTGGTCAAAGGAAAAGATACGAGTTGGAGGGAGACAAACTTAGGAGACAATATTACTGGGGATGTGGTAAGCCCTAGAAGCAGCAGTTTTAGCTGTCTTTAGTCTCATTTTTGGTCTGGTGGTCGAATTCTTCGATAGGGACGCAGACGTCCGCTGCAGATCGGAAGAATCACCACTGAGGATCCAGGCGGGTTTCTGTGCGCTGTGTTATCGTTGCTGTCCACTACGATTGGTATGTCGTCCTCCTCCTCTTCCTCTTCCTCGTCCCCCTCAGATGAATGACGCTGATGTCGGCGTTCGGGGTGCTGGGCATCATCCATGCTAAGTATAGCCTGCCTGAAGGTATTTTATGATGCGAAGAAGGGGGGACTGGGGTCAACCTGCTGCACTTGAACGGAAGGAAGTCCTGTGCAATTAAGGAGGATGATCAGAGAACCTAGCAGTTTGAACTTTCACAGAATCGATATATAACATCAAGGTCATTTTTCAGCGCGGCGAATAGTCAATAATAATGTCGCCTTTAAGCTTTGGATACAGGAAAAGTAGGGAGGGGAATTAACAAAAATAAAAGGTTGATTAAATGTAGGTATGCGATTACCAGGGCAGCTGGAGATTTGCCACATGATCTAACTGCATGCATAGGATGTATATAGGCTGCTTCCATGTAGCGCAAGAGTCGATTTATTTGTGTTCGAAAAAGAACTCGGAACTATTTTTTGAGGTCAACAGAGTGATCATTGTCTAGCAGATGTTTTGTAATCAAGGACCGTGGTACTTTGTTTTCTTGTTTTAGAAGCTAATTAGGTAAATGTCCGGTGGCCCTGGTCGCCAGTTGCCTTTGGGTACGCCCAGTATTCTTGCATCCGCAAGTGCACATTTATTCATAGACACAGTTTGAAATGGCGTGCAAAGATAAGGCATCCTTTGTTCGGTTACGTTGCATCATAGAGAGAACGTTCAATACAGGTGGACTAGTGTTTCTCACTTCCACTAAAAGCCTTCAAGTTAACCGGGCATAGAATGCTTTGCTTTTGCACGCCACCCCCAGATTGTGCCCATGAATTCATGTGCAGTTGCGGATGCAAATAAACTGGGCGTACGCAAAGGCTCTTGGCGACTAGAGCTTGCTGTAAATTCTTCATGTCTTGTCTTGATGGGTTATGGAGAGCGACTGGAAAATTCTTTTTCGTTTTTCAACATGTGATTGTTCAAATTTGGCATTTAGGGACTTGTAAAAGCTTCAAATGACCGAGGACACTGATAAGGATTTAGCACTTAGACTTCTGAAGAACTGCTCCTAGTAGGTCAAAGTATACAAAGTGGAACATTCAACAATTACTGAAGCCCGAGTAGACTAAGCAAGCTAGTTACTCTTTGATTCTGTAGTTGCAAGATAAAAAACCGTTAACTGCTAAAATATAAAATACTATAGAAGAAGTTTACTTCTTTATATATAGTCATCGCGGCAAAAGTTAAGATGGTCGCGTACCTTAGATAGCTCTCACCCCCAGTTATCTGCTTCCTTTTAGTTTTTTTAGTATTCGTTTATTTTACTTCTAGGTTTATTACTTAATTTATCAGTTTAATTCTAATTTTAGTTTACTACAGTTTAAACCGCCAAACTAAGATAACTGTACTTGAATAACTTCTGTACACTAAACTAAAATAACTATGCTAAACGAAATAAAACGAACTAAACGAACAACTAAACTAAAATTCAACTAATGAACCAAATAGTAAACTAAAAAATAAACTAAACTAATACCAGTGCTCCCTTAAGGAGGAATTCATGGGCTAAGGGTACTTAAGCTGGGCTACCTAATTAAATTTTACAGCTATCGCTTTGCTTTACTTTGGAAAGAAGTGTAATTCGCGTGTCTTTTCATTTCAGTTTCGTCTCAAACTCACAGAAGAAGCCGGTAAAGGTGGTGCAGCAATTGTGGCCTCCTACATGGGGCGTAAAAAGTGACAGGCTCTACGGAGAAACAGCAGCATAAGTTAGATGTTTGCTTAAAGTAGGAAGGCTAGGAGTTTGCCACTTTTATGGCAACACACATTTCATCATTTCCTAAACGTAAAAGGCAAATAAACACCTCAGTTACCTAGTCAAAACCCCTCTCTTTATTTTTCCTAAAAGAACATTTTGGTGGGGTATGCTGCGGCGAGGGACAAACGTGTGACATTTCGGTTCCCTCCATACCCGACCTGCATGCACAAAGTGCATATGTCTCCCTCGTTTTTGCCGGCGGTACTTTATGTCTACTGATACCAGCTGCTACGGTTGTCAGGGCCTCTGCCGAGGCCCCAGGCAGCTCAGGACAGATGATCTCCGTTAGCGGTCGGGTAAACGCTCATCAACAAGTGTCAATATCGTCGGCCTTAAATCGGCAGGACAGCGAACTCGTGGCTAAATTGGTAGGGCAATTTTACTTTGATCAAGAAGGTCGTGAGTTCGAAGCTGGAGTGGGATGCCACTTGGACCTGGGTACGACTGGTCATTCCAGTCTCCCTTGACTTTACCGGCAAGTCTAAGTGCATATGTGTTGGAGAGAAGCTCTTTTTGATGCACATCGATTTCAACACATTCAGAGTGTTCTTTCTTAGTCATCTAAGGGCAGATACTACAGAATTCTTGATTGGAAAATCAAACAGAACAGGTGATTCTTATTCGGAATATAGAATAATAGGACATAAAGGGGCTGGTCTTTGGGCTGAAAATTGAAAAACAGAAATAGTAAATAAGAATGCTCCAAACAGTTTTGCAGACCTGTTTTTCTGCTGAAGCTGATATGAAGATATAGGACTGTGGCCCTTCCAGCATACTGATATGGCGTGCTATATGTCATTCTTAGACGTTGTAGTCTATTGAAGAAAAGGCAAGGAGGACTTATGTGATACCCTAAACAGGAAACGTGAATAAGAATGCCCCACTCAATTGATAAAGATTATCATATATGCAAAAGAACATTACCGACAAAGACAAGGGAGACTAAAAAGGCCATTTCTGGCTTTTTAGTCGCTGTGAGCTAGTCATACCCAACTCAAGTTTTGTTCCAGAAATTGATGCTCTGCTCGAGTTTTGAACACGCGACCTTGTTAGTCAGAAGTACAACGCACTAACCACTGCACTACAGGCTCGCTGTCTTATTGGTTTGTGATCGGAAATATGTAGTGTCAGATAGACGTTCCATGTGTATAAGTTCAGGAGGAGTAAATAATCCCGCGTCTTAAACCTAACACTAGGCCTAACATAAACCCAAACCGTAGTCCGAATGTCATCCTTAACCCTTCTTTATACCCCAAAAGTACAGTCAATATTAATTCTTACTTTTAAACTGACGCTTATGTCTACCTTAAACCAAGTATTAAAATTGTTACGACCCGCACCTGGTACTTTCATTTAGCACGAACTCTGAGCTAACCCGTCTGTTGTCCCCAAGGTCCAGTACGAGGGAACAAAAGAAGTCAATCGGTCAGGAGGAGAAGTGTATTCACACAGAGCAAGTCAAGCAAGTCGTTCTCACGAAAGGTTGCGGGGTAGTCAGCTTGATGAGGGAGCGTTGGCGACAATTAACCAATCAATCATGACGAAAAATCGATAGCTAGGGTGCGCGCTCTCATTACCACGGCGTGACAACTGCGCTCCGACACCTTTCTGTGCTGTGAATCATCGCGGGAATAGGGGCATTCCCAACAAAAAATTACGTCGAATTTATGCCTGATTTGACGGAAAGCCACCTGTATTGCGGACAGTTCCCGTTCTCACGTCCTGTATGGGGAGCCATAAAGGTCCTCCTTCCCCAAAGAAACCTCAAGAGGAGAGAAAATAGGCAGGTTAACTCGCAGACCCGAATATACACTAACTTATCTCAACCACTTGGAGACGTATATTTTTTTCCGTCCTAAGATGACGGAAGATCGTCACCGTTCGGCGAAGATGCAGCAACCTTACTGTCGGAAAAGGAACAGGTCTTTGAACACTAAGTCGAACACTCCTAGGGTAACCTCAGCCACCCGTTCACGTCCTAAAAAGCGACCACCAACTGGCTTTCTCAGATGAACAACGATATCGATCACAATTCCTGCCTTTCCTGTAGGAATTGTTCCAATACGATGGCTCTAACGTCACGGACAGGCTTCTTTAACTGTTAACAAATACAAGGAATACAAGGGAACCGTCCCTCAACTATGTCGTCTTCCTTTCTTTATAAAACCAGAAGTCGAACCGGCAAATGTGATTCCCAGGGTGGCATCTCCCACCCCAACACGAAAGGAAAAATGTGTGCCGAAGTTCTAAGCCGTCCCAATCTGCATCTTATGTGGGGCCTCTTTTTAGCAACACGATGCGGCTTACAAAAGCATGATCTTTGCGGCTCGCAAACCGTAACCAAAATGTCCAGAAATACATAATACCTGCGATGCATGCTTTTCTAGATTTGTGACAATACTCTTGACACGGCAAAAGTATCCCACGAAACCAGTTGTACAAAATTCAGCACTATTGTGACCGATAGAAGACGCACCTTTCACTGTCCTACGCATTCCTTAGCCCGAAAGCTGTATTAGGTCATGTTTTCTGTCTCTTCGTTTTATACACTGTCATCATCCAAAAGGCTAGGGGAACTCGCCATTGTCATACACAGTTTGCTCTAACATAATTTGACATTAGTAGAGTTTCCGTTAGAAGTCCCACTAACGAGCCTCGGCCTATTTACTAGCCTTTCTGAAGTGAAGATTGTCGAGTTTGCGATAATATGACGGTGGAACAGAGAGAGGCTTCACTAGGACACATAGAGTTACATTGTTCCCCGTTGACTTGCTGACATCAGAGACCAGGAACAGCTAGAGCATTTTTGTATTTTTTTGTTTTGGTTGGTTGGTTGCAGACGGAAAATGGAACATTAGCGATAGGCCGAAGCGTCGCTACAGGTTTTCGCTTACGTCTTATGTGCTGTGCATACTAATGGTTCCTAATTCCGGCCTGTGTTGACAGGTTAATTGGATAGGCTGACTTGCTTGACTTACCGCAACATGGGTGTATACGAGTGGCCGAGCTGATAGGCTTCGGTCATTTTGCTTGGCCTGTACGCTAGTGACATCACGCAGCTTATGTCAGTTTGCGTGCAAACTTCGATGACGGTTGACTAATGGCTTAATGCTAGTACAGACCCCTCGCGTAAAACGTATTTCGCGCGTAAACAATTCAACAAACAGACTAGTCAGATAGTTTATTTTAGACTGGAGGTAGGTTCTCGCCGGTCGGTTTTGGGTGGCGTCAGTATCTAGGCCGAAACACATAATAAACTTACGATACACGCTT